CCCCCCCCCGGAAATCCGATTGGGGGAGTAGTTTACCTCCGGATTGTTTTGTCTCCAGAGGAAACGTCTCGCATACATGGTATATCTGTTTTTGGAAAGAGACTATCCAGGAAAAGTGATAATGTGGTAGTTTTTTCATTTGCTTTCCACATCGCAGTACAGCAGCCGTTCAAACCACTCTGGTCACGCCTGTTGCTATACGAACTTGAACCATCTTGAGCATCATTTGCTCTGTGCTTCAAGTCGCTACTGATGACGCTGCTTCTGGCATCAGATTTTGGTGTGTCTCTTCGTCTGATGCCTATCCTTTGACCTGTCCAGCAAGGGAGGCCCTGCCAGTAGCTACGGTACCGCTGATATAGCTCTCAGGGTCCTTGGCATACTCAAACCCCCTCACCATGATAAGGTGGAGACACCAACGAGGGGGTTCAAAATAGAAGAGGAAATAAATAACAAAATAAACTTCTTAGATATATCTATTGAAAAAATGCATAATAAATTGCAATTAGGAATCTATAGAAAACCAACAACCACAGACTTAATCATTCACAACCATTTATGCCACTCATATGAGCATAAAATAGCTACATAAACGTCTCTTTCAGACTGATGCTGTGCACCAGACCCAAGATCTAGAAATAGGAAAGCATCTCATTGTTACTGTACGTGTCTATCATCCTTTTCGCCACAAAGTTGGAGTTCGCATCAGCAACCCTCCTCGTTGCAGTCAGGAAGTGGTTCTTCTAGGAGAGCAGATGCTGACTCGGCTAAGGGATAAGATAGTTTGTCCTTCTGACTTAGCTGTGTCAGGAGAACTGAGTGAAAATCCTGATCAAAAGTTCACACAAAGAACAATGGTAAGCATGAAATTTCATACCATTTATATCTCTTAAGGATCAGACTTGGAATCAAGATGAAGGCAGTGTGACAGTGCAGTCTTGGTTCAATTCCTGTATTTGCCCTCCTCAGGTGCTAAGGGCATCTTGGTCTTTAATTCATGGTAATCCAGATTTCAGAGGGAGATGTCTAACTTCGCAGACAAGCGGCAGTCTCTCAGTCGTTATAGTTCACTTGTGGACTACAGGCCACAGAGTTTGTTTTGTTTTGTTTGTTTGTTTGATGTGTATTTTGTACTTCTATGAATGAAGTGCTGTATAAGATGCATAATTTATTAGTGCTTGTTTATTACACAGTCAAGTAGAGTAACAGATATCCATTGTTTTTGTCACAAAGGATGGGTTTGTGTTCAAGTGCAGAGGAATGCAATGTGCCACCCTTTCTGACAGCTGCATGGACTCTAGCCATCCACTCACTTGTGAAATGTCATGTGCACAGATAGGTGTAATCTCTTTAGGTGTCAAAAGATTATTTCTGCTGAAAGCTGAACTCTTTTTGTTTCACCAGTGGGGCTCATATGTACCCTCCAAAGTGACTGTCTGTTTTCCTGGAACATACTTGAATTTAATCTGAGTAGCAGACTAAAATTGCTAGATTCATTTTAAATGCTGGCAGGTCACTTGGCTAAAGATTACAAATTAACTTGCAGCTAGGCAGAGCACACCATCTGAGCATCTTCGTTCAACCATTAACTTTCTAATTAGTTGGTTACACCACAGCTTTGAGCTACAGAACTAATATTCAGTGATAAAAATTTTAGTTAAATTAGCATTTAACATTATATATATATTGTAACGTGTTTCATTACAGAATACGCCGTAGAGATCGTTAATTGGTTTATTCAACAATCTACAACTATCGGCTACAATTAATTATAACAATGTTACGGGTTTCCACTCTTTACAAACCCTACAACAAAATCTCTTAACACTATCTTCAAGAGTCTTCACGTATTAATAACACGGGAGCTATACAAGTCTCCCTGAATTACACACTCCAGATATAACTGGTTATCACTGGTTATCGCCCACGCGTCTGTAGCTCGTAACTTGCGAACTGAGAACTCGTTGGTAACGCACTCGGAGACTGTCACAGTACAACTCCTGTGAATAGCCTTCGCTGCTCCTCATGTAGCCTCGATCGGACAATACTGAAAACGGCCACGTAATAAGCACCCTTGTTGCCTGGCGCTGTGTTGCTAGCAACGCTAGCGGTAGTAACCGCTGTTACTACCGTAACAATCATGTTGCGTCACCGTTACGTTACCGTGCGGAGGAGGGGGAGGGGAGCGCTGACTCACCCGCCGCGTCACTGCTGGTGGGGGGGGTTCTCCTTTGCGCAACATGTCACAATATAATTGATACACATTTTTTTTGTGACATCTTGAAATTAAATTAAGGAATCCTCTGTCTAAAGTGAGGAGAATTAATAATTTTATTGTAAATCTGTTGTGTCGATATATTAAACTAAGGAATTTAGCCAGACTTTATCTTAGTAATGTGTTCGTGAATTGCATACAGTTTCAAAGTGTGAAGATAGCAGTTTTACATATGTGTGTGTAAGGAAACTAGTAAGTGATTGTGGGAGTATACCACAATGCTAGCCAATCAGTGTGGAGCACAGCAGTGCCAATGACCATTGGGTTGGGCACTGCTAGCAACAGTGAATGAAGATACAGATCTCCAACACACTAGTATTTTTTTTATTCCTAGTGGGGTGGGACTAAGTCCTTTGTACTGTGGCCACTTCTGGCCTATTGTACCAGCCCCAGATGACAGGTGAGGGGGATTGTGGAGCAATTTGTGGAATGAAGATTGGCAGGCGAAACCGAAGTACTCGGAGAAAACCTGCCCCAGCGCCACTTTGTCCACCACAAATCCCACTTGACCAGACCCGGGATCGAACCCGGGCCACCGCGGTGGAACGCCAGTGAACCGCTTGAGCTATGGCGTGGCCCACATACCACCTTGGTATGATGCTTAGAATAGTTAAATTTGTAGTCTGTCTCAGTGCTATGCTATGCTATTCTGGGTCCGGATTTGGGGGGGGGGGCCTGGCTACCGTATGAATGGAACCTACCAGACACAACCAGTTCCGAGTGAAAGGATTGTGGGATAAAATCTTTTGCATTCTGAGATGCTGAAATACTATTTTTGAACACTTAAAGGATGAAGTCCTTTCCAACGAAATCTACTGTACTTTTTTGACGAAAAAGAAAACAGTAAATTACAGTACAGAAACATTTACTGTACTGTACAAGTCCCATGTACAAGGCTCGTCCACAGAGTAAGTTTCCCTGGGGCCATTTACAGAAACAAAACACAATTTCATGGAAATATTTATTGCAACAGACACAGCAAGTGTTCAGCTATTTTTCAACATAATCACCACCGGAATTGAGACATTTGTCATACCGTGGGACCAACTTTTGAATACCTGTGTCATAGAAGTCTGCCGCCTGGGATTGGAACCACTGTGTGACAACCATCTCCGCCTCTGTCATTCTCAAAACGCTGACGCTCAGCGGACAGGAATTTCTTGAGGTGTAGGAAAAGATGGAAATCACTGGGAGAGAGGTCCGGGCTGTAGGGTGGATGATTAAACACCTCCCAGCTGAACTCTTGCAGGAGACTTGCTGTCCGTCGAGCCGTGTGCAGCCTAGCGTTATCGTGCAGGAAGACAATACCAGCACTAAGCATCCCACGCCGCTTGTTCTGAATGGCCTGTCGCAATTTCTGCAGTGTTTCACAGTAACGCTCAGCATTCACCGTCTCACCTCTGGTCAGGAAGTCGACATGGAGAACGCCCCGTCTATCCCAGAATACCGTGCACACCACTTTCCGCGCCGACAACGTCTGCTTGAATTTCGTCTTACAGGGAGATCCACTCTGATGCCAATGCATTGACTCCTGCTTGGTTTCTGGGGTAATGTGTGCAATCCACGTTTCATCACCTGTGATGATCTGGTCATGAAACTCATCGCTGTCATCATGGTACCACTGCAGAAAGGTCAATGCTGACTCCATGTGCTCTGTTTGTGTTCTGGTGTCAGTTGCTTCAGCACCCACCTGGCGCACAATTTCCTGAACAACAGATGCTCCGTGACAATTTCGTGCAACAAGGAGCGGGAAATCTGCGGGACATGACTGCTGAGTTCCGTAATTGTGACGCAACGATTCTCCATAATGCTTTCCCGCACAAGCTCCATCAGGTCGTCTGTAATGATGGATGGCCGCCCACTGCACTTCTCATCATGCACACTTTGTCAACCTGCTGAAAATTGTCTGCACCAGCGATGCACCATCTGCTTGCTCATGATGTTAGGCCCATAGACCCGGCACAGCTGACAATGAATTTCGATCAGCACTATGCTCTGTGCATTGAAAAACTGTATCACTGACTGCACTTCACAGTCGGCGGGAGTTGGAATAAGAGCTTCCATCTTCAACAGCTGCAACGATGCTACTGTGGGAACGCGGGGAATTCCATTTGTGCATGCGCCATGCTACGTCATTGCTCTATCACGTACACGCAGTCGCTTCACGCAACATAAGGTTTGCTAGCTGTGGGATGAGTGGGAAGCTTACTTTGTGGACGTGCTACGTATGTCATAAAAATCACGTCAGAAGGCCATGCTTAATTCTATATGTAGTATAGAATTTCCGAACATGACATATTTTCAGCCTCTTTTTTTATTTCCTTTCATTTTATTACAGTTATTTACAGTATTTACAGTTATTCCTTTTGATATTAGAAGCACAAAAAATCTGACTATTCTTTATTTTCTTCTGATTATACTCTAAATAAAACTGCATCAGATTTGCTACACTCTCAGCACCAGAGACATCAGACAGACAAAGGCGTGGTTTTCTTCTAGACATGCTTTTCTGCATTATGAAGTAAGCCAGAAAAAACATAAAGAACAAAATCCCCACTCCTAGTGTGCAATAGCATTCCTCACCACTACCAACATACCAATAAAAAATTTTACAGTTAAACAATATTACAATTCTAGTTTTTAAAGTGACTTGTTGTGCCTAGAAATGTGTGCGTTGCAAGCCAATGTGCTTAAGTGCAACTCAACAAAACCTGACCCTTCAAATCACGTGGTCAGACTTGCTACTTATCAATCAAAATTAACACACACTTCAAATGGAAAATTAAGTACTGCCTCCAGGCGGTACTCCATCACGAAGTCTACACAAAACATTACTTAAAAAAATATATAATACATTAACCATGGCTGGAAATATTAACGCTATTCACATTCAAAGCCTTTATAAATCAATAAAATTCTAAATTTGCCTCATTTGCAGGTTTATTTTGAATTTCATCCATACGCATGAAAACTGTATTTCATTTATGAAATTACTTCTACTTAATGAGCACAGAATTATAAAACTATTTTCAAATTTAAAATATTCAGAAATAACAACTTGCTTGGGAACATATTCAAAGTTCCAATTATGCAAACACGTTCCTAACATTCAGCCAGTCTGCTGGCCTGTGGATGCCTATGTTACATTTATTTTAATGCAAAGAGAAAATCTACTGTTGCCCAACTGGTTTTCGAGATAAACTGCATATAACTCAAATTTAAACACCAAACTCCACAGATAACATTGATCCAGGAGGTAGTCGCTGACATTTTGGATAGCTGCAAAAACAAATGGCTGAAGTCAATAGTTTAGGTCAGAATTCTGATAAAAATGTATAAATAGGTCAGTAAAACATGCAAGAGCTTAAACATGAGAGCAACCTCTCTGTTTATTTTCATCCATACTAGTTTCTGTTGTTAGAGTTTTTCAGACCTATGGCATTCACTAGGCCCATATAACTTGATCTCTCCCTTCCAGTTCACACATTTCTCTGACACAGTATGTAGGTTACTTAGAGGGCTCTAATTTCACTATCTAGAAAAAAATAATTAAAAACACAAGCCACTTACCACAAGAGCCATACACATTGAATATGGATTGAACGGATAGAGCCATAATCTGTGGTACCACAGCAGAGCACACTCCCATTTACGAACAGGACCAACTGGTAACTCAGCATGCTAGTAAGTCAGTATCTTACCTCGAGACAGCTCATCTAGAGCGCACACAGCAACAATGAATGTCCTAGCAAGAACACTGTGACCTGGCTTCGAGAGTGGTCACCTAGACCCATTGGGAAGTCCCCCACTAGTGCTTACTGCTCTTCAGCTGGCTCCCAGTCACCTGGCTACCATTGCAAGGAAGACCACTATCCCTGGCACAAGCCAGCGCTGTAGCTGGAGCTTCACAGACATTCATCACGTGCACCCTGCCCTAGAATTATGGTCCTTTTCAGAGCCCTACAGTACCTCACCTGTTACTTCACTCTCTGCTTGCCTGCTTGTCTGTGTACTCTTCTTCTAACAGCAATAAATGTCTGTTATAGGAACTTACATGGTTGTCTCTCCAAGTACCAGAACTGACATCCCACATGATAATCATATATGCTTGTGATATGCTTGGAAGTGTGTGTTGTGGGGTGTATTCATGACTTTGCCATGGTTCACAAAGGCATTACCTGAGACAGACCTCAAGCCTATGAAATATGAACTGTCCCACATAATTTACCTAAATTCTGAGGTTACTCAAGGAAAAGATTAATTATTATACATAATCTAAATTACTTCTTTTGGTTTATTTTGGACTTCACCCATCGTCTGGTATGTGAAAGACAAAAAACCACGACGTTTGTCTTTCACATACCAGACGATGGGTGAAGTCCAAAATAAACCAAAAGAAGTAGTGTATACACCATCGTCAGAATCCTTTCAAGTCTATAATCTGAATTGCTAGTAAAGAACAAGGCTGCTATCTGGGCAGAACTTTTGTGGAAAGTGGTTGATTGTTGCAACTGGGTCCTTATGTCAGAATTTATTTTGCATTAAGTTGTTTCAATTTTATGTTCATTTAATTTCATTTGAATTTTCATTCAGATGTTCATTCTTTCTTGTTTTGAGATTTACTACTTATGATTGGTAATAGTAGATAATATTTTACATTTATCAGCACCAGGTATGGTAGTTGTGTTACATGTTCATGGTGTCTTGTCAACTGTCATGCAACACAAGACCTAAGGTGTCTTGTGCCTATCATAAATCTCTTGTAGCGTGAGATAGTGTGTTAGTTCAGAGGGCTGATTTATTGTTTTGCAGGATATTTACAAGTCAGGTTTCATCTTCATCGAAGACACTTTCTACAATGATCATAGAGACCGAGCTAATCTGGACTATAGTCGTGTAATCAGGGATTGGGCTGTCACTCATGGGTTGGGACCATTTAAAACGGCTTTCATGGAGAAGACGAAGTTTGAAGATCTAACAGTGAGACTGGGTTATCCTTATGTATATCAACATCAAGGGAACTGTGAACATTTGATAGTATTTAGTGATGTAAGGTAAGTTGAAAATATTTTGTACATTAAACATATGAATTGTAGCTGTGCAGATTTTCTCTGTTGACAGTGTCTGGCTGATATTTGAAGGCTCTTAGCAAAATGATGACTGATTATGTGCATCTCAACCAATTTTTAAGAGAAGCAGAATTTTCCAAAATATTGTCACATGATTGAGTGACTATAGACAGGGTTTGGATTGGTAATCAGATTTATTGAACACTTACAGAACGTGACTAAATATAACAGTAGTCTTGTTGAGTTACACATTCCAGAGACCACTGTAACTACAGCTCGCATAATGTCTTCTCACTCTGCATTAGCCATTGCTTGGTAGCAGCTTCCAACAACAGATGTTCACTTTCCACCAGGTTCCCCAATTGTCTGTGGCCTCAGCTACCAGCTCCTCACTTCTCACAACTGCAACTCTCAGCTGACTGAACTAGTCCTTGTTATATAGCCCCAGTACAGACCACAGAGGAAACATCTCTTCTGTTATTATGTTCTGTCATTGCCAGGGAAAGAATGTGTCCACAGAGCTGTTTCCTAGCAACAGCTGTTGTACCGCCTCCTGTTTACATAGTTGTTACTTGGTACTGGGTCTACATGTCACATTGCTTCCTCCTTAAGGCTGCTGGTCCTGAGTAACCTTTCAGTGTGTTACCATTCCTTCTGTTTGTGGAGAGAGAATATCAGGGCGTGGCCAGTGCTTCTGCACCGCTGGCACGCAGGCCGCTAGTAGTCTCTTCTTACATTTTGGTGGGGGCCTACTCATTCACAATGTCCAGTCACTCATTTTTGGAATCCTGATAAGATTCTGCTGCTGGCTTGACAACCTTCAGGACTATTTTTATTGCTAGTGGGGTGAGACTAAGTCCCTTGTACTGCGGCTGCTTCTGGCCTATTGTACCAGCTCCAGATGATATGTGAGGGTGATTGTGGAGCAATTGGTGGAATGAAGATTGGCAGGGGAAACCGAAGTACTCGGAGAAAACCTGCCCCAGCGCCACTTTGTCCACCACAAATCCCACTTGACCAGACCTGGGATTGAACCCAGGCCGCCACAGTGAGAAGCCAGCAACTAACCGCTTGAGCTATGGTGCTGCCCTCCTTCAGGACTATGGTCTGTATCAGGGCCTCATTGACCCTTCCCTTGCTTCCCAGTAATAGCTACTGTTTCAGGCCTCTGCCCCTTATTCCACTGTTGCATTTTGGCTGTGCATGACATTTCTTCCCAAATGCCCTGCCCTCTGGGGCTCCTTGTACAACATTGTCCTTGGTCCGCCTTTTCCAGAGTGTTCTGGTCACCAGTCCCCAGATTGGTCCTCCCATGTTCCAAAAGTCTCCACTGTGGCCTCTTCATTAAGGACTTCCAGATCCTCTGCTATAGCCTCTATTTTTTCTGGATTTGCCTCAAAGTCTGTGGTGTTCATTTCTTCCATGAGAGGCTTAATTTGGCTTCAACTCTTTCCTGGCCCCTGTCTTTCCTAGAGAAGCCTTCATTGTGAACATTGTCTCATGGTGGGAATCCATCCTGGCTTGGTAGTCATCCATTCCGGAGATGGCGGTGTCTATCTGGGTTTTCATGTCGGCCTTCATTTCAGCCTGATCATCTTTAATTTTTTCTCAGTTGGTTCTTATTTCAGCTAGCAGATGTTCCATCATTTGTTCCATCTCCATAATATGGTGATATAACAACCCATTGTGGTCTTCAGCCCAATAATTCACTCAGTCAACCAATCTAATCCAGTAATTTCACTTATGACACCATTATCATGTGATTGAGTGACTATTGATGGCTCATGAATTGGTAACTTTAATTGTTTCTTGCATCCTGTTGTGTATTTAATCAATATTAGGGTTAATTTCACCGACCACACAACACGTTTTTATTATTGTTACACTACATGTTTCGACCTCAAGAGGTCATCCTCAGGTGTACGAACACAGTTGTACAATCACACGCAATCACATTCGTTTTCCACTTATTTCGATCCTGTATCATGTTCAGGCCTACACTCAATAATATATGTCAAGTTCTTCTTATAAAATACAAGTTAAAATACTATTCAAATGTTAAAATTTAAAATTTTAAATTAAAAAAAATAAAATACAAGTTAAAATACTATTCAAATGTTAAAATTTAAATTTTTTTTTTTAATTTTTAAATTTTAACATTTGAATAGTATTTTAACTTGTATTTTATAAGAAGAACTTGACATATATTATTGAGCGTAGGCCTGAACAGGATACAGGATCGAAATAAGTGGAAAACGTATGTGATTGCGTGTGATTGTACAACTGTGTTCGTACACCTGAGGATGACCTCTTGAGGTCGAAACATGTAGTGTGACAATAATAAAAACGTGTTGTGTGGTCAGTGAAATTAACCCTAATATTCATGAATTGGTAATCTGATTTATTGAACACTTGCAGAATCTGACCAAAAATAACTACAACAGTTACACTCTCTGAAGGTTACTGTAACTACAGCATGCATAAGTATTTTCAGTCTTCACTAGTCGTTGTGTGGTAGCAGCATACAAAGGTTAATGTCCCCCTTCCTCTGTGTTCCTGAACTGTCCCCAGCGTCAGCTGCCAGCTTCTAACTTCTCACAGCTGCAACTCACAACTGACTCAGCTAGTCCTCATTATATAACCCTGGCATGGACTGCACAGAAAATGTCTTCCATTGTTGTGTATTCTGTCATTGCTGGGGAAACAGTGTGTCCACAGAGCTGTTTCCTAGCAGCAGTTGTTATACTGTCTTCTGTTTACACAACTGTTATTTGGCAATGGGTCTGGGTGTCACAGTATCATGTGTTGTGCAGTGAACCTCTAGTGCCATTCACATGTACACTATTTATACCATTGCCTGAGTGCCATTATTCTGATCATAACAGCCTTCCCTTTGTGCTGGGTTCATCATGTTGATGGGACCGTTTTTTTTTTCTTCTCTCTCGTAATTATTGATTTTTCAAAGTTTTGTGACAGTGGTTGATTCTGTGTATGAGCATTATGTTGGACATTGCCCATTGTGATATATTTGATGTGTGATGTTTCAGAAGCTGTTTCTGCTCCCATCTTCAGTTTGTTGGTTATCATACTAGCAGATGTGTTTTATTGATTTATTTTCATAAAGTTATTGGTGATAGCTGTGACTGAACCAAACAGTCACGACTGAAATAATAGAGCATTTAAAGTTTTTTCAGTATAATACCTGAAGAAAGAAGCAGAGTCAATTTATGAAACATCATGTACTGTCCACATCAGTTTTCTTGAGATCTTTCTGAGGGAATATGCTCAATATGCATGCACCTCTCTGTTCTACAGTTTAAAGGAAAACATATTACAAATAATATGTAGTGTTGTGTGGAGAGAACGGAGTGAGTATATAGAGCTCAGGTTCAGTGTCTTCTGCAAAGAATCTTGAAAATTAAGCTGGGAGGGGGGATAAACTTCTTTAAGTCATTTCTTCTGTATTAAAACCCACTTATGATGGAATCCCTAGGGATACAAACATCTCCCTGTTTGAGATAGGTTTTCATTTAACATAAGTATGTATTTCTAGATGAACATCATTGTGAGTATTCACTCATACATTTATGAACCAGATCACATTCCAGATTCATGTTATGTGTCTGTGTTACACAATTACAGAATAGAGACTATGATCCATGTTTACGTATGGCTCGATTGTAGTTGTTTTGTTAAAATCGGACAGCCGGGCGCTCACCTTCCATATTCCTCCCCCTCCCTGCTTCCTGTGTTGTGGAGTATGTATTCATAATTCATAATTTTATTTACATCCATAACTGTAAAATATACAATCGGATAAAGTCAAAGAGAATATATAGATTTAATAACAATCACACCTAACATAATCAAAGAATACATAAATACTTAAATAAATTATATAAAAAAACCACCAGCACATGCATTAACAAACAATTACAGTCATTTAATTCAACATCTTACATATAAAAAAACTCCTGAAGAGAGTAGAAGGCACTATGCAACAAATAACACTTCAATTTCCTCCTAAACACTTTAAAATCAGATACATTCTTTAACTCCAAAGGAAGATTATTGTATAGTTTTATGCCCATGTTTATCACACTTCTCTTACAACGATTTGTATTACAATGTTGGGTATACAGATTATGTTATGCTTTGTATTGTAATTATGCACATCAGAGTTCAAAGTTGTATAGATTCTATTTTTTATGATAAAACATAAAATCTCCAGTATTTACAAAGAAGTAACAGTTAAAATTTCTAACTCACCAAACAGCCTTCTACAGGATGCCCGATTATCAACACCCATAATGGCTCTTATGCATTTTTTTTTGTACTTTAAAAACTGTATCAATCTCTTTACCTCCACCACCCCAAAACATAATACCATACTTAAATATGGATTCAAATTTAGTAAAATATACATTTCTTAATACCTGTAAACTAACAGAATTACGTAAGGATTTGATCAGATATAGGGCCTTGCTCAGCTTAAGGCAGATATATTGAGTGTGATTCAACCAGCTCAAATTATCAGAGATATCAATACCCAAGAATTTCACCGAAGATGAATATACTAATTCCCTATTGAATAAACGTATGACCAGTCTGTTCCTAGAAGTAGATCCTTTTCCATGGAAAAACAATACTTTGGTCTTGTCAGTGTTAACAAAAAGTTGATTCACATTAAACCAACTTTCTAGTTGATCAATAACCTTTTTGATTTTTATATTTAAAGATCTAAGAGAGTTATCAGTTTAACACATGATCTACCCCCCTTCCTCCGACTGTTCTAATATATTCTGCCAGCTTGGCCCAGGTATGCGAAGAGAGGACCCTTCTCAGTGGGTTACTAGCCATCACAGAGGTAGAAGGAAATTTGTTTTTGGAAGCACATTCCAAATTCTGTTTTGGTCTGTTGTTTTGACTGCCTTGCAGAAGAGAGATAAATGTTGGGCGTTCAGTTAAATATTGTGATATGATTGGGACTCTCTTAGTGTCCCTTTTGTATGGTAGATATTATCTTCTGTATATGTAGTTAAGTGAGTTGAGTTGAGATGTATGTTATGTTTTTTTTTTTGTATTAATCGGCATTGCCCCAAGATTGCTGGAGGGCTAGTTAATGAGATTATGAGAGGGTAGTCATGTATTTCAGGAGGAGAGGTCCAATGCTCCAAGTTCTTGTCAATTGCATACGTTTATGTTCCCTACTGGGAACAAACAATAGTAACATGCAGATGAGTTGGGAGGACAATACAGTTATGGTCCACTTCAAGATGATGTGTGGCAAGTCAGTGGTATGCAGAAGTAAAACAATTTACATTTTGTTATGAGAAGGGAAAGATGGGCCAATTAAATGCTTTTTTTTTTTTTTTCCAGGTTGCTTCATAAGAGTGATTCATTATCATCTCATAACTATCCCAGTTTCCGCAGCATAAGCTCAACAAATGCTCAATATTGTATGATTTGTAACTACTTTGTTGCAAGGTGAGTCAATAATTTTAGTATTTAGATATAAGACTTGTACTCATTTATTTTACACTGAGTTATGGAAGGAGAATGAACCAGAGTAGAACATTCACTGGTACATTAACATGGAGAGAAAGAAAAACTTTATTTTTTATTTGCATGGGGGGGGGGGTGGAGTCCAGCTGGGTCCACTCGGCACGTTGGCCACTGTTTGGCCTATTGTACCTGCCCTGGGTGATTATAATGATGGAGAATTTGGTGGAATGATGATCGGCAAGGGAAACGAAAGTACTCAGAGAAAACCTGCCCTGGCGCCACTTTGTCCACCACATACCCCACTTGACTAGACCCAGGCTCGAACCCAGACTGCTGTGGTGGGAAGCCAGCAACTAACCGCCTGAGCTATGGTGTGGCCAAGAAAAATATTAGGTTGCTGACAGTAATTCATGCTTTTAAATTGGTCAGAACCAAAATTCATATGCATGTGCTCTGTTTAACCACTTGAAGACAGCTTTAAATGGCAGACTCCCTGCCCTTGCAGCTGTGTATAAATGGAGTCATGTCTCTGCTGTTGCAGTATGGTTACAGAAAATATCTAATTTTGGACTGGATTTTTTTTTGTAGGTGGCTTACATGTGAAAATGAAAGAGTACCATATGACCCCTGCTTCTTTTGTGAGCATTGCTTCCGGTCGTACAACTACATTGATGGAAATAAGGTTGGCCATTTTAAGGCTTATCCATTTTTTGACAGAACTGCTGTTTAATGAGAAAACAACTGGAATTCACTTTATATCTCGACATCTGTTCTTGACTTATGAACTTTCGTGCAGAATTAATGGTGTAAGTTAAAACAATTATACTTATCAGTGTCATTAGTTGCTTAGTATAGGGTTCAGTCTGGAAGCAACAAACTGTTAGAACTGGAGAGTAGGAGCAGAGTGATAACGGCTTGTGTATTTACATGAGTGAAACATTATACTTAATTGACAAAAACATGTGCATGTTGCATGCTAATGTTACAGTCTTTGTAGTAATGGTCCATTTGTAATTATGGCCAGTAACTTCATCATACATTGTAATTTACTGGCCTACACACGGCGACTCTGGTGATACTTTTCTTTTGGGGAGACACAGAACTTCTCTGTACAAGTGGAAATGACTAGAGCTGTCATGTCAAATTATGATGTTTCAGCTTACACAGTACATGTGAGTGAGCCCTGGTAATTGCCTCTTCTTCTCTTCATAGGAGGATGGTATGTTACAGGTATATACTAAGTCTGAAAAGGTGGTTTCAGGAATGTCATTTTTCTGTCTCTATGTGTCTGTGCACCCACATGCTATGTGAACAATGAGAAAATTGTCTTAATATTTGCAGTTTATAAATGTGTACGTTCTGTAGACAAGTAATTTCTTAAAAGTCTCTTGTGCATCACATGAAGGTTGAAGTATAAAATATTGACTTGTTAAGAAGAAGCCTAATTAATGCAACTAATTTTCATTCATTTAGAGAATGTACGTATTCTGTAGGCCAGATCTATCAGAAAGCAGTAGCATAGGTTGCAGAAGATGATTTTTTTTTTTTTGCCATTTACATTGAATATGAGCTTGTCTGAGCCAGCTATTTTGGTCCAGTCATCATTTTTGTTTTGTATTGTCATTTTGCAGTGAGGTGGAAGTTTGTTGTTGCAAGTTATTGCAATGCTGTACTGCCAGCCAAGTGTCGTAGTTTTTCCTGTTCCTAATGTTTAGATATGCACAGTGATTTTTAATTATGTAAAATACCTCTTTTCTACGTGATTGGAAGTGCTCTAGTATACATTCTGAACTGTTGATGTTACTATTGGTATTGATACCTTTGGTTTATTGCAGAGGAACAGTTGTGTGATGACTTGTTGAGTGGATAAGTTTAATTAATTGAAAAGAGTTCCATAGCGTAATTGACCATGTAATTTCATACCCTGAAATATTTATTTCCAGTCTCAATAACTGGGTGGTAACCATTGTTTAGTGTAATCCTGTATTTAAGCATCCTGTTGCATTACTATATCTAAAATTGTTTATGTACTACACAGTCTGTCAACAGTACAACAAATTGTTCCTTCTTTCTTTCACTTTCACTTTTGACACAACATGTTTCAGTCCTAAATGACCATCGTCATGTGTCTTACTGTGCTAAAACTGCTACACTGCTCTAATGTCATCCATTCATCACATATGCAACTCCATGCTTCATGATTCTTACCACCGTAATTGTGGTCTAACTGATATGCTCTAAAAAGCACATGTTGTAGTTTGCTTAATTTAAATAAAATAAAATCTATTAACAACTTTTTCTTTAAATTTTGTAAAATTGTTATTACGCCTCACAAGGTGTGACATCCTCATGTTTTGATCTGTGTCCTTTTCTTCAGATGTTTTATTGTAGGAGCCTGTTTTTGTATTCATAAGCCCGTTGTGTTATGCCTGCAATCTGTACTCTGCAAGATCCCACATGTTAATATTGTTTTTGATTGTTATTACTAGTGTTCTGTTATGTTATGTTTATTTTATACTCACTTTGCCCCTTGTTTGTGCATTGTTCCCTCCAGTAGCGTGTGGTGTTGTCTTTACTCCTGTAGATGTGATGTGCTTGCTTTCATATTTATATTAGCCATGGTTGTGAAGAGTGCGGAGATGGTATAATATTATTTTATGTTCATTTTGTGTAATTCTTAAAAAATTGTGATTGTATCAATATTAGTGTCATTCATATGTTGATTTTTCCTACTGATTTCATAAATATGATACTTTTCCAGTGTATTAAGATATTTTCCTTTCCTCCCTGTTATAATTTCCATGGTGTCTGCTATTGTTCCATATATATGTCCAGTGTTCAATATGTGATTTGAATATCCGGACTTACTATTGTTACTTTTAATGTCATGAATGTGTTCTTTATATCTGGTCTTAAATGCACAATCATTGCCATAACGGTAATTATACTGTTATTATATAATAATAATTTGATTATGAGTGTGCAGCATTTGCAAACAATAAGTATTTTACAAAACTCTGGCCATATTTCCATCTTTGCAACATTATTGAACCTGCAACCTTGACCATCTTGGTCAGTCCAGACATAAAACCCAGGAAAGAATGCAACTCACAACTCACACAGATGGGGCAATGGAAGCCTACACACATACCAAAGAAAACCCCAGTAACTCTTCATTGTGTTTATCAAACTCAAACACACAAAATGAGGCAATACAAGCTGAATCCATAATAAATTAAGACCCCAACAGAACCCTTGTTGCAATGCTCCCAACACACGCGTTGCAACAAGGTGGTCCCTCGCTGGCAACAGCCAAGACGAGAATACAAACAACATTTGGAATGTAAGATTTGAGGCTTTCACGGTGGTGACTATGAAGAAAACAGTCTTCTGGGATTTGGCACCGTGTATATGTGGTGTTAACCGACGTTTCGGAGGAACGTATCGCCTCCATCTTCAGGGTAGAAGAAAAAATATAAGAAATCTGCAAGCGAAGAGACTGTGAGAACCGGTAAAAGCAGACTGGTCGTGAAGGGAATCATCGGAAGCAAGGACTGAGCCAAGTTGGGTGTCACTCCGGTCCTGGGAAACCTACGTCAGGGAGAACTCACACCTAGTACAAGTATGTACTGGATATGTAAGATTTGAGGCTTTCATGGCAGTGACTATGAAGAAAGCAGTCTTCTGGGATACAGTATCCCATGCGAGTGCGGGAAGGTCTATATTGGGCAGACAGGCCGCTCCATGGACATGAGGTTGAAGGAGCATCAACGGCACATCCATCTCGAACAACTGGACAAGTCGGCCGTAGCTGAACACAGTATCGATCTGGAACACCTTATTCAGCTTCAGAATACCTCCATCCTCGCCACCAAGACCCACTATATGGATCGCATCATTAGGGAGGCAATTGAGATTGAACTGCATCCAGAAAATATGAACAGAGAGGGGGGGTTTTGTCTCAGCAAGTCTTGGAAGCCTCTCATCTGTTCTCTTAAAAACCCCCACCGGGATATGATGCCAGATCCAGAAGGCCACACAGGCCATGACCAACCAACATAACAACCCCCCCCCTCAGCTTAAGGGTTAGTGCCCAGCCTTTAACCTTGCCTTTCTCTCCCCCAACACAAAAACNTCCTCCGAAACGTCGGTTAACACCACATATACACGGTGCCAAATCCCAGAAGACTGCTTTCTTCATAGTCACCGCCGTGAAAGCCTCAAATTTTACAAGGTCAATATTGGTTATCCTCATTTCTTCTGGGCAAGTGGTGTGATAATACCTTGATTTGGCCACAAGTGCTGCCTTCCAAATCCTTTCTGATTGTTTGTTCACTAGTCAGTCTACCATTCAACTGGCTCATAATTGTATCACAGCCAAAAGCCAGTTCTTCAAAGGTGAAACTGATAGGATAGTAAATCACTCTGTTCCATAAACATTTATGTAGATTTCCATGTCTGATCTTGCTTATTCATTTATCTGTTGACTCTTCATGTGGTTGTCCACAGTGTCTGTAGCTTCCTGCTTTTTGTTGTGTCAGTGTTGTTTCTTTGATGATAATCTTCCAGTACCTTGTGATCCCATTCATTGTTCACCATCACTTGGTGATATATATTGTCCAGTATTTGGGTATGTGATGCAAAGCTATACACAAATAACTTTCTAACTTCTTGCCTGTGGTTCTTATTTTCAATTTATACCTCAATTAGAACTAATTCTTCTATTTCACTGGTAGTTTCAAACTGCTGGAATGTGGAAGTCACCTTCCTGAGGAGATTTCAGAAGCCTCTCACCCTATTCCTGAAGGAATGGAAGGTGTTTCAAAGGACTAGTGAATTATTTCCACCCAAACAGCATTCCTAAATCCAGCCCTTAAAAAAGGTTGTTTTCTCATTTTGAACTTCCTGTCAGAACGAGCACTGAAAAGCGGTAGAAAACCATATGAGGACAAAAATGAATTTTACCCCATTTTTCTCAATATTCTACTTTTCCTTCTGAAAACACTATTGTGTTCTTGGCAAGGACTTCCCTTTCTTACTATTCTGTTTCCCATCTGCGATGAAAAAATAGTGTGACCCCTTAAAAGAGCCTTGTTACTACCCATTTTCCCCACTTGCCCAAATTGAGCTCCTTTTTCTTACCCCTTCCTTCAGGTCTCATGGTCACTTTCTTTGCAGACTGTGACATTTACTGAACTTACACACTTGACTTCTGAAGAAGTTCCTCCAAATCACCATTATCCACCTACAAGACTGCACGGTGTCACAACCAAGAAGATCAGAATCTGAACAGTCACCACTGTTAAAATCTCTAAACTTATGCAGTAGTCAGCGCATTGCCATTTGAATTTATGCAGACAAGCTTATAGCTCTTCAGATACAAGATACAGTAACAGAAAAGCTGATAGTGGTATGAAGTGTATGGTGGGTTCTATGGAAACATGGATTCCCTGATATATGTTATCGGTCGTTGTTAATAGACTGGTAATGCTGCAGTTCAACCATGAAGATTACTATAAGTTCAGATCGTGGTGATCTGGACTGAGACCTATGTAGTCTTGTAGCTGGATACTGACATTTTGAAGGAGTGGGCTGCCTCAGTTATCAAGGTTAAAGTGTGTAGGGTGAGGAATTGGTTTCATTATGGCAGGTTGCAAGGAAGGTTGTTGCCCAGACCTTTGGGAGTGGGTAAGGAAATGGAGCCAGTCTGGGCCTCAGGGATCAGTTGGTAGGAAAATGTCTCTTTTCAGGAGTATTATGTTGTTTTCCCTCATAGGAAGACTAGTGGAATTAGAAGAAAAGATATTGTCTGTTTTCTTTCCTATGAGAAAAGCATATTGGGATCCTGAACAAGGCAAGGAAGAAGCCAGCAAGAAGGAGGCTGCAAACAGGGCCCTTACTACCTGCTTCTTACTGGTTTCTTGGTAGGTCTTCGGATCTGAAGGTGGATGCATTACAATTCCCTGTAACATCAGTGAACTTCTGCTGAAGTATATGGTGTTACATCCCAGTGGGTAGTACATCCACAGTTACTACTGTGGGAATGTAAAGCCCAGCATACTTTAACAGTTGATTTCAAGACACTACCATTTCAGTTATAGTAATTATTACCATCTGATGTAACTGTAACAAAGTATTGACGGTGTGCGTCACCATTGTTGTTGGCAGACGGTGTAACACTGGGAAAGATATGTCACTGATAATATATACTGTTTCAGTAGGTAAGGTCTTAATCTGCAGGAGTTGTAGGGGAAGTTATTTGGAGAAGAAAATATAAATACATATTTTTCCAATTCACAACCGTTATTTCGTTACACCATCTCAAAACAGTATGTGGATTGTGAAGCTCTGTAGTTACAACATTGAAGCAATGTACAGTGATCTTTAACTAATCACAAGGGATTTTTAAAAGATGAAGCAAACGTTAACGGAATGTACAGTATGGTACATAAAGCAAATGTTAATGTTTTCTGATAACTCGTTAGAACACTTAAGCATTTGATACCCCATGCCATTATGTGCGGCAGGTAACAGACTGGCTGAATATGCCTGGCAGTCAATGAGACAAGGAGGGCCAATTGCGTAGCGGTCTCGAGGTTTCATTCACCCCTTCCATCGCACATTTCACAGATGTATTTTTGTTTTCCTCTTTATATTCTCCTGATTTCCTGATACTCCAGGTTTGTTTCCAAGATCACCAATGTGACTTTGGAATTCCTTGTCAACAGAAACGCTTGTCTCCTGAGCTGAACCCTTTCGAAATCCACTGATTTTTCGGACTACTCATTAAAAGCCCTGTCCTCTGTGTCTCTTTTATGTTGCTGAACTTCAGTTTATTTTCTATAAATAAGTTTACATGAATATGAAGGTAATATCATGTTACAGCATTAGGATTTTTGTGCAAATTCCAGTTTTACGAAAACCACTCCTAATATTGTTTATTTTTCATTTGCTTTCAATATAAACTAGGGTGGATAAAGTCACAATATCTTCTGTAGTTTCACTTGAAGGAAAGTGGGATCAGTGGGGATCGCACACGGATTCCATTTCACTTTTGTAAAACTTAGTAATTTTCGTTCTACAGTAGCCTGCTAAGGTTAGATTAAAAAAGTATGGGTTAGGAATGTTACAGAAACTTCCCTCCACCCCCCGCCGGTATATAATAATACATAATATATGTGTATAATTTCACCTTCGCTATTTATCGTTTTGTATAAACCGTGGAAATGAGGGAGTCTGCAAACCAGACAGTCATGACGTAGTTCAGCGCTTTATCTCCACATAAATTTCGTACTTTGTTGGTTTTTCACACGCCTTTACGAACCCCACTAAGCGTGGATCCGATGTTATAATAAACTCTGACGTAGAAATTCCCTTGTTCCCAAGAGTTTCCGTGCGAGTCAGCAAATTCTTCGTCCTATTGTTCGAGATAAGGCTGTAATATATGGCAGCTTGGAGAATTATAGCACAGCACCCTCCTCTACGGTGGAACATAACAAAGAAACTCATTATTCTGCTTTTACTAAAACACTTTCATCTGCAGTTGAATGTGTCAGTGGCTTGATTTTGTCAGTTCATCTGTCTCTTTGCAAGATGATGGGAACAGTTTCCAAGAACCGAATACGATGCAGAAATGTCACATCTAAAGTACTACCATAGTGGAATGATCTCTAAATTTGTGTCTATCCTGCTTTGTCCGGAAATGAATCTTCGCTAAAAATGTATTTATCCTTACAATTTCAGCTACATTTAGCAGGACTGTTAA